ACTAGGTTGTATCTTAGATTGGCGTATGCCACCGCCTCGGTTTGCGTGCCCGTGTGCACGCATTTCGAGGCACTTCATTTTTATCCGCCGGTATCCTATGTGAGTGTGGCTGAGGCTCACTCATGTTGGTATAAGCCCATATCATGTTTCCATATCCCGGCTCCCAAAGGTGGCCGGCAATGCTGCAGTGTATCCCCTTGGCCCTGTTTTACCATTCGAGGGAAAGTTTCAAGCATTTCCATGCAACGGGAGAGTCAAAGGCCTTCATTTCCCTCTGTTTCGGATGCGTTCCGGTGCCCAGATCGTCCGAAGTACACTCTGTTTGTTGTTGAGTTTTGTTTATCGAGTTGTTGTTTTGATTATCGAGTTGTTGTTTTGCTTATCGAGTTGTTTGTCGAGCGGACGTGTTTCGTGTTTTCAAGTCATTGTTCTCTGTTTAAACAATCTTTGTTTAAAGTCTTGTTTATTTGCGTTGTCAACGTTGTTGCGTTTTGTTTATCGAGTTGTAAACTTCCTAAGGTTCTGTTATATCTTAGTAAGTTGAGTTGCTTAGTTTGTTGCGTCGGTTCACTACCTGACTTGGTGATTACACAATGCGCATTCCCATTCAATTTCATTTTTGTGCAAAATAAAATGATGCGATACGATGCTAAAGTTTAAAATACAAACACCTTTTCAAAAGCTATTTCATTCCATCATGCTTTACAACGAATAATGGTACAAGTTTTACAAAAAATAAAACTGCCTAACAATGTGCAAAGTGCTACAAACTACTAGCAAAAAGGAAAATAAAGCAGGAAATGGCAGCATCAATGTCTTCGGGAGCGGGAATGAGAAGCACTCCTCATCCTCTTTTGCGGGACAGCCTCTGCACTATCATCATCATCTGGGTCAGAACCGTCGTCCTCAGGATTCCCCTCAGCCTCGTCCCCACTCCCCGGACCAAGACCGGAGCCCTCCTCCTCGGCAGACGTCTCGGACTGACGATCTGTGGCCTCCTCCTCCTCCTCCTCCTCATCAGGCTCCGCCTCTACAACGTGAGCCCTGCGTCTGCGGACAGGCCCTCCTCGAGCTCCGCGAAAAGGCCTGGATGGCCTAGCTCCTCGGAAAGGCCTGGATGGCCCAGCTCCCTGAGAAGGCCCAGATGGCCCAGCTCCGTAAGAAGACCCAAATGGCCCAGCTCCCCAAGGGGACCCAGGTGGCCCGGCCCGCGGCGGAGCATATACAGGAGGTATCTGAAAATGAAAAAATTCAATACATCAGTTCAAATATGAAAATCAGATGCGAGTACAGTATATGAGTGGGGTGTGTGACGAATGTGCTCTACAATGCAGAAGAATGCTCAAAACCAGTGTGTCATCAGAAATACGATAAATACAAGAAAGATAAACGGTACCTGCGCACCCATAGCGGATAGATGTGTCTCTCTCCGAAGGACCATGCCCTCAAGCGAGGCCATCACCCCGAGAATCTCGTCCACATACTCAACCGGAGGCTGCAGATACAAAGGCAAAACTATCAGTAAAGGAATGAATGTCCAAGTACCCGACTGATAAATCAAAACTATAAATCATACCGGTGGCGAATCAGGATCCCTGACATATCTATGGTCAGGAAGTGGAGGCTCTAGCGGAATCGGGTAGGGAGTCCCGAAACGCCATCCCGTCAACTCGAACGGCATGTCCGGCCATCCAGGATGAGGATAGGTCGGAGTAACCGGAGGAACCGGTCTACCCCCACCTCTAGATGCACCAGCCCCGCTGGCAGAAGGGGCGTCTGCAGCCCGAGCCCGAGCCTGGCCCGAGGATGACATACCGGCAGGCCTCATCATCGGGATACGAGCTCCCGTCAATGGAGGCATCAAATATATGTGACGGTAAGTGGCGTAGTCCCCCTCCTCAATATATAGTAAAGCATCACTACCCAGCATGGCGCCGACTACCTCCGAGTAAGAGAGCCTGTCAGCAGTCCGCATACTGACTGGGGGTACTGCGGGAGGATCCTGAGAAAGATACCCCCATACCTGACGCAGAAAGCGTTCCCCCAGAAACCATGCCCTGCCAACCGGCCCTTCAAGCAGGACCCTATACTGGGAGATGTCCGACGCTCCGGTATACTGAAGTCGGAGACAATCACCCAGAGACACCCAGGGCTGCCATGTGATCTGCGGATGATAAATGCATAAACCAATCAAAAATCGAGAATATACAGAGCAAATCAAAGATGAAAATGAAAGGAACTGAAAGTTCTGAGGTACCTCTGAATGTCGCACAGTGTCAAAGTACTGTCGCAGGTAAAGGAGGGTCTCTCGAGGTCTCGGCCGGTGCGGGCCCTCGAACACCAATGAATATGGGGTCATGAGAATCCCCGCCACCTCCAACTCTGGGGCTAATGATGGGAAGTATACATAGACCCATAGCTGAGAAAAGCAGTGCAGAATGTAAGTACGAAATGCTGAGAGCAAAATACAGACTGTAAAAGTGCGCTGTGTGTGCAATGTACAAGTGATGAAAAGTAGAAATGTAAATCAAGGGGACAGAAAAGTACCTCCCAGGCTCTCCAATAGCCGCCAAGTAAATCGCCCCGCCCGCGGGACGTCGCGCTCATATAAAAGTAAAGGGTAGCCAGGCCGGCGCCCCCCCAGTCAAATCTACTGACCTGTGATAGGTCGACTAGAGCGCTCAGCAGATATAACCCGACTGTGTTCCCTCTATCGGCGAACAGGGTAGTCCCGAAGAGGAACATAAGGAAACCACGGGCGTACTGCTCCGTCTTCTCAGGAGTCTCGGGCACCATCTCCGCCCGCCGAAAGTGGGAAGAGAACCAAGTGTATCGGACTCTCCCAGAAACCCTGTCAACAGGCGGGCGAGCCCCCAATAAATACATCCAGGCGGCCTCCCACTCGCCCATGTCCTCATCATAGGGGATGGACCAACCTCCTATATCTAGGCCGGTCAGCACAGCAAAGTCTAGAGGCGTCATGGTCATGTCTCCAGCAGTAGAGAAATGAAAGGAGTTGGTGGTGTCCCACCATCTCTCTACCAAGGCTGCCATCAGTGTCCTCCTGGCAGGACAATGTGACAACCCGACGCAGAAGGGCCCGAACCCTGCCAAGTCTACCAAGTCTTGGACACCCTCCGGGAGCTCAGCGTACCAGTCCCGCGCGGCGGTAGAACCATATCCCCGTACGCTGCGAGAACCAACCTGCATTCAGAATGAATACATGTGCCAATGAGATGAAATGGGCTGTGTGCCGATGAAATGAAATGGGCTGTGTGCCGATGAAATGAAATGGGTTGTGTACCGATGAAGTGAAATAAGCTACGTGCAAATTCTAATCTGGGCTGCGTGTTCACTATTTCTAATCTGGGCTGCGTGTTCAGGAAATTAAGTTTGGGCTGCGTGTTCAACTTTCAATCAGTGTGGGCTGCGTGTTCACTATTTCTAATCTGGGCTGCGTTTTCAGGAAATTAAGTTTGGGCTGCGTGTTCAACTTTCAATCAGTGTGGGCTGCGTGTTCACTATTTCTAATCTGGGCTGCGTGTTCAGGAAATTAAGTCTGGGCTGCGTGTTCAACTTTCAATCAGTGTGGGCTGCGTGTTCACTATTTCTAATCTGGGCTGCATGTTCAGGATATTTTAAGTTTGGGCTGCGTGTTCAACTTTCAATCAGTGTGGGCTGCGTGTTCACTGTTTCTAATCTGGGCTGTGTGTTCAGAAAATTAGGTTTGGGCTGCGTGTTCAACTTTCAATCAGTGTGGGCTGCGTGTTCACTATTTAATCTGGGCTGCGTGTTCAGAAAATTTTAAGTTTGGGCTGCGTGTTCAACTTTCAATCAGTGTGGCTGCGTGTTCACTATTCTAATCTGGGCTGCGTGTTCAGAAAATTTAAAGTTTGGGCTGCGTGTTCAAATTTCAACTAGTGTGGGCTGCGTGTTCACTATTCTAATCTGGTCTGTGTGTTCAGAAAATTTAAAGTGTGGGCTGTGTGTTCACTTTCGAATTCGGGCTGTGTGTTCGACAAATCAGTGTTTGAGCCGTGTGTTCACCTCTTAACTAATGTGTACTGTGTGTTCGCAATTAATTAACGAGCCGAATGTTCAGAAATTCGAGTGTTTAAACTACGTGTTCAGGATGCAAGCAAAGTACTATGTCATAAGCTAAACTGAGTGTTCAAGCATGGCAAAGGTGCGAAATGTACGAAAAATGCAGAAAACGAAGTAAATACCTCTCGGGCCTCATGAGAGAGGTGATGCTCTGGCTCTCGAAGAAGCAAATCCCCAGGTGCTCGCTCGTCAAAGCTAGTGAAGTGACGGAAAACGGCACGCGGAAGGACATGTGCTGGCGGGTTGTACCTCCCGGGAATAAAAGGTCGGGTCCTCGGGGGCAAAGTCATGGGATCAAAATCATCTCCGGCACCTGGAAAACCTCCGCCGTGGGGAGAATTACCCGCCATTTTCAGAAGATCTACAAAGGGAGCAAAAATGAGCGAAAATGAGCCAAAATTGGAAAAAGTCAACAAAAGTCAACTCTCGGGAAATAAAAAAAGTCAACAAAAGTCAACTCCCGAGAAAATCTTCCAAATATTGAGACAAACTTACCTCAAGTGGCGAAAATGAGAAAAGGAGCTCCGAAACCGAAATTTAATCGCTTCAAAGTGCTTGAAACTGAATGTTTTTGCGGAAACAACTTGCGTAGGCCGTTGGAAAACGCGTATGGAACTCAGATCTGGAGAAGAAAGTGTTGTAGGAGGCAAGAGAGGAGAAGATCTCGGCTGCCTTATATAGGCTCAAGGTCTTGGTTGAAGGAGCATAAAGAAAGGAGGTGAAAGGACCAAAATGCCCTCGGATTTGGGCATATGGCAGGCCGGCCCCCTTTTCTAGCCGGCCAGCTATTTGCTTTTTGGAAAACCAGCCGGCCAGCTATTTGCTTTTTGGAAAACCGGTTGGCCACCTCCCCTTGGGAAGATAAACGGCCGGCCATGTCCCTCACAGGCTCACCTAGCTCCCTGCAAATTTTGAGGAAGATTGGAGTTCCCCGGACCTGAAAAAGTTCAATAAAAGTACACTTCCGGTCGCGAAATTGCTCCGTCGGAACTTCGGCTTCGAGATCTGACATGTGTCTCATCATCATTCATCAAAATCAAGGTGTATCCTTTTTGAATGAGTTGTAGCCCTTCCAGGAAGTGGATCGGAGGCCGTGATTGAGTCGCCTTCGCCGAAACGCGCATTTCCATACTCGTTATTTCATGACAAACGGGCACCCTGATTCATGCTCGTTTCGCACTATCATGCACATAACTTGCATTCTCATAGCATACCTGCATTAACGTGCACATTTCTTGATATTGGCATACCCCTATGTTTGAGCATGCGTTGTCACGCATGTTCCACTCTTGTATTACAATGCATTCACTTACCGGCACTGCGTGTGTCAAACTTCCAGAATCACATTGGATATATAGCATATTGTACTTGTTGCAATTTCTCTCTTTTTGCAGGCACGATATTGTATGTACGGTTCAATTGAGGCTGGTGCGACCAGACGAATCGCGCAGGTATCGTATCTTCTCCGTGTGAGATGTGGCGGGGATTGAATAATCCTCCGCATTCTTAACTGCATGAAATGTAGTTGTTGCTTTGCATTCTTGCTTAAAACTGTTGCATCTATTTGCGAATACTTGCTTCATTACAGCTTGCTGCATTTGCATGATCATTAGTTATGTTCGGCTTCTTGCACATCACTTTGCATTTTGCCCCCCTGCCTGCGGGCCTGCCTGCGGGCACATCTCTGGGCACATCTCTGTTTACTTTGTACGTTTGTCTAAGTCTTCGGCCTTGTCAAAAATGGGTCGTCTCTGGGCT